GCAAGGCGCATAGTCCGTTTTGAAGCTTTGTATCTTGCGGAAATGCGACTTTGAAGTTTCTGGTGACATCTTGAAGCGTTTGAGGCCTACGAGGCTCCAAATAGAACTTATCAAGTTAGCAAAATTATTTATATATAGGAATCTGAAGGGATTCAAAGAGACAGAGGAATGAATTCAAGCTTATATAGTAAGGGCACGTGATGATTCAGTGACGAACGGGACATATAAGACTGTGAACGGTTGAGGAAACAAGAATCGGGAGTGGCGCCCATCCAAGTAGATGATGATTGGGTTCGACCGAAAGAAGCAACTGTGACAACGAGAAGAAGACATGACTAACTCAATGCTGGTAGCCGCAAAAGAAACATTTGACATGATTGCATAGACGACAATGCTGAGCAGGGCGACTACCACTGCAACAGCATATCGTGAACGGGAGTTTTTGGGTGACATCACGACTGTAAAAGTACTTGGTCGGTGATTGTTTTTTCCAATGGTAGAAAGGAAGCAGCTTGCAGCTATTCAGAGTTCAACTCGGACTGCATCCAACTGAAAAGAAGAAGAAGCGTGGGTTTCAACCAATTTCATTCAGAGGAACAGGCAAAGTTATGCTGATATACGAATTCTCGTGAATAGCTGTTACACAGCAGCGCAGAGAAACAAGACCCTGCCATGAGAAGAGAGCACTGACAAGGAAGAAACAAGGTTGAAGGACAAGGCAGACAAGGCAGAAACCCACCAAAATATGTGACACGTAATGCAGACAGTACCTGATCGCAAGGGAAATACTTTACTCACCTTCAAAGATTTGTTGCCTAAGTACCGTAAGATAAGGCTGTAGGTTGCTGCGAGTAAGAATGACGAGGAAGAGGGGTCCAATCAATTACTGAGAATGGGCCTGACAAGAAAAATTACCCCGCTATCGAGGTAGCACTTGGTGTAATTGGTAACAGCAACACGACAGAGGATGCGGAAGAAAGATTCAAAGAGAGGATTTATATAGAGGGGATCTTGAAGCAAAACATAGAAGCAAACGTTTTGTTGAATGGTAGCAACCAACATTTTTAGCATCTTTATTGCTCCTGCATCAACCACAAGCACGAATTAACGGCATAGGCATCTATCCGGGTATAGCCTCCGCCCTCCTCACAACTTTAGGTAGGAGCACATGCCAAATGGCTATCGGAATTCTCAAGTTTGCTTGGCACGGTCCTTGTCTTTCCATTCATGGCCTCAAGAACAATGCAATCGAAAGGTGGGCTTTCATGAACAATCCATAAAGGTGGCTTGTGCTCGCCATTGATTGGTCGTACTGCCGCTAAGCGCACTGGCCAAGGTTCAGCCACTCAGTGCTTGGCTTCAGTGGGAAAGTCGCAGGTGCATCCACCAGGGAGGGAAGCTGTAGTGCTGTCATGACGGCACTGGAAAGTTGCCAGCTTGTGGCTGATTCTTGATTGTAACTCGCGACAAACACCAACAGCTCATGACAAGAGCTTACAGCTAGCCATGCGAATATTGATGTTTAACCTTGAACCTTGAGCTATCTAATTACTATTCGGCTTTTACAAGTGCAACATATCACAATCAAGCTCCACGAGCAGCTCAGCAGCCGTTGTGCTAAACCTACGATATACGTATAGCTTCACCTGACGTTGCTCAACCTTCTTACGAGAATACACCTCCGTCTGTCACGATGGCTACGGCAACAGAACAAGCACCGCAACAGCTTAGCGACGCTCTCGTCGCCTTTTCCCTCGAAGGTCGATTCCCCGACGATATCTCCATCCTACCTCCTGTTTCCGAGACCGACCTACAACCTGCGATCCAAGCTCTGGCGAAAGCCAAGCGAGATCTGGAGGTAATATGACTCTATTTAAACGAATTTCAACCAGATATGTTGCTCACGACGCCCACAGGCCGAGCTACACACCATCAATCAAGAAACAAAACAAGATGTTGATTCCTGGGTACGGAATTCAAAGACTCTGCAGGGGGATATATTCCGGTCCAAGGCAATGGCCAATGAGATTGAACGGCAATCAGAAGCTCCCGATGTTTCTGGTGAGGCGATTCAGGATGCTGAGGAAAAGGCGGAGTTCTTGAATCGCGAAGTGCAGTACAGTCAACAGCTCCACGGCGCATTACAAGGCATCAAACGTGTCAACCAGCTCCTAAGTGAAGTCGAAGCTGCCAAAAACGAACGCCGCATATTGGACTCGTTACGGCTACTCGAGAGTATGTCATAGAATTCCCCTTGCCGATATCATACTTACCACATGACAGAGTCATGGGAAGCAATTGACCAAATTGGTGTAAGCAAAACTTGTCGAGTCATGAAACTTTTGAATCTTCGAAGTTTCGAGCTCAAGTCTTCTGTTCATGAGGTTTTCGACCACATCTGGAAGGCATTGATTCATGCGGATATTGAGAAACGCCAATTCGCCGTTTACAATGCTGTTGAGGGTAAGGAAACTGTCTCGCGAAGCACCACTACCGCTAACAAGTTTTAGATGAGCAAATAAATCTCTCCGATGCAGTAGTTGGCCTCCAGGCTTACAAAGAGGTTGATGAGCGCATGGAGCAGTTGTGGCGAAATGTGGATGCCGCAATCATATCTCCCCGAATGGATATCAAAAACGACACTTTGCCCACTATACAGGCAGATGGGGGGGTTCTCAAGCTATCAGGGGAAGCATCAAGATCGGTCGATGCTCTGCTCACCGACCTAGAAACGGCCTTCGCTTTTCTCGCCCAAAAGCTTCCTTCTGTTCTCTTGCCGCCCCTTGGTAACTTTATGATAGCAGACGTAATACCCAAGCTTATTGGAGAGTGGCTAGAGGTTGCAGTACCTTCATCGTTAAAAGAGATGGACAACTTCCAGGCCATGATTAAGAGAGCTCGCGAATTCTGCCAGTCGCTGACTCAATATGGATACACGGGCTTCACAGATTTACAGAACTGGGTTGACAATGCGCCATCAATATGGCTCGGTAAGTGTCGAGAGACAACACTCGACTCTGTCCGATCCAAGCTACTTGGTGGAATTGGCCAATCAAAACAGGTTGAGAAGGTTGAGAAACAAATGGTATCCTTGGCAGAAGGCAAAGAGATCACAAAGACGCCAGGAGGAGCTGCAGCAAACACCGAGACTGCTGACTGGGGAGCTGATTGGGGTGATGCTTGGGAGGAAGATAATGAGCAAACCGAAGTCCAGAACAAATCTGCCTCAAAAGGCCCGGGCTCTACGAAAGCCGACGAAGATGATGGAGCGGATGCATGGGGGTGGGATGAAGAGGACACCACTACTGAAGCCAAGGATACCCAAGAAGCTCCAGAGAAGGATGATGAAGATGACAGTGTTGCTGCTTGGGATTGGGGAGACGAGGATATAACCCAGGAGCCAATTCAGGCATCAAAACCCAAGGGCAAAGCCCCTAATGCCCAAGATGAGACTCGAGAGCTCGTCTTGAAAGAGACATATAGCGTGTCGTCCATGCCTGAGCCTGTCCTTGAGCTGATTTATGCCACCCTAGAGGATGGTGCTGCACTAACAAGGGACGATGCGGAATATGCGCCCGTTGCAGCTACAGCACCCGGTCTCTTTGGTCTGCCAACATTTGCCTTGGCTTTGTTCAGGGCCATCTCGCCTCATTACTACTCTAAAAGCGAGGGTGGAAACATGTAAGGGCATCTCACGAAATGACCTGAGTGCGTCACTGACTCCGAAACAGGTTCCTATACAACGATGCAATGTATCTAGCAGAAAAGCTCTCCGAATTTGCTGATGGCTGGAAGCAGCGAGGCGACTTGACACCTAGAGCCCGAAACATGCTACGGTTTGACAACGACATCAAGAGCTTACAAGCCTTCGCCAATCGCAGCTATGCTAACGAGATGAACATCCAAAAGACCATTCTTCGAGATTTTCTTGGTGGAGCGCAAAGTCTGATGCAGCAAGATGAGATGGAGGCTTGTGTAGAGTTGGCTACAGCGCGCATCCGTGCCATGGCTTCTGTCTGGAAACCTATCCTCGCTCGATCAGTCTGGACTCAGGCTTTGGGTTCGCTCGCCGATGCTCTGGCGACCAAGCTCATTACAGACGTCCTCGAGATGTCGTCCATCGGTCAAGACGAAGCATACAATATTGCAAAACTTATCGCTACAGCCACCGAGCTTGATGACCTCTTCCTGCCCAGCACCCTAACAGGAACCGCAAAGTCAGAGGATGAAGTTCCCCAGACAGCTCAGTATGCTCCTAGCTGGCTACGTCTCAAGTATCTGAGCGAGGTTCTGCAAAGCAATCTCAACGAGGTACGGTACCTGTGGTGTGAAAGTGAATTGAGTCTATACTTTTCGGTCTCTGAGGTTATAGACCTCATTGAGGCTAGCTTTGAGGCGAATGCAAGGACAAGAGATACCATCCGTGAGATTCAGTCCAAACCTACGCCTTTAGCTGGGCGATGAGAGGTGTTTAGATAGAGATGAAGATTGTTTTCCGGGTACTTTGGAAAGATGCAGCATTTATGGCGCTTTAGAAATAAAATATGTGATTATCTGGCTGTACGGATAGAAAGCCTTGCTTTAATTTTACTGTTTTCTTTCGTGTATTCAAGTGTGTTGTTCATACATGCCGGTTCCCATCTCACCATAAACAACCACGCAGTTTCTTAATAGGACGAGTAAGTACACATGGAATAAAGCGCTCTTTTATTCAAGAACAACCTCCCTACTCGTGACATTGATATCAGTGAATTCGGGTGTCATATGAGTAACTCACTCGAAGTGGTCTATTTGTGCTGTGATTACCCTATACTTCAACGTTTCTAAATGTGAGATCAATGATTGCCTTTTGAAGACAAATAACAGTAAGATATTTGATGTTTATTTATTTGAAAGAGCTATTTAGATCCATGGGGCATTGTAATTCATACTCACTTGTCTATGATGCTTAACTTGACATTAGGAGAGAAACCATTATCCCAACCACAGGCAACAGCCTCACGAGCAATGGAAGTTCCGACACTCCACAACTTTCAGAAACTGACAACATCACAGGCACCGGGAAGAAGACTCATCTGACGGCCATAACTCACCTTGACCTTGACAGATGACCTCTCGTAATGACCTCTCAACACGACATATCACAATCCACAAACTCAGTCCGCCTTTCTCACCTTCGTCGCACAAACAATACGCATCGGTCGAGTTTCCCATCGCACCATAATCAAGTGAGCTGACAGACCGGAAACCCACAGCAAGGCAACAAGCGGAGGAACACAAAAGCAGACAGCACAGCATGAGGCAGCTGCCGAGATATCGCGACGTCATGTCCGCCGGATGAGTTTCTGTAAGAGGGTGTTTCCCTGGCTGGCATGACGACTAAGCATGCCAAGACGAACGTGGATATCTCCAAGACAAGAGGATAGCCAGTAACAGGAGTTTCGAGCATGGCACAGCAGCTGTAGGATGTTTCATCGGAGAGAAGCGGACATGGCTCTGACCGTGGATTACAGACGGGTAGTCGCAGGAAAGATTGCGCATTTCAAACCAGGTCCTCCCTGTGTAATGTCTTGTGCCAGCGCATTCACCGACGAGGCCAACTTTGTCCAAAACTCGGGTGAAATCTCGGTGATGAGTCAATTCATGCCAAAAATGTCGTATTGGTTGGTCTCGATAACGAAGGCATGTGCGTAAATGATGCCCGGCAAGCAAGCATGCATGAAATGAAACATGCAGCACATCCGGAAACCATATCCATGAATAGTATATTCGCTGAAGCCGCGGGCGATCCCTGCCGAGTCCCGTAGACCGAAGCAGAGGTCAGAAGAAGATCCACGTAGCATGGCATTGTTGAGCATAGTATAGTAGCAGTGACAGTTGGTTGAAACGGCGTCAGAAGATTGGACCACAAGCAGCAAACAATGCCGCACAGATCTAAAAGGATTCAACGGAGGATCTAAAGAGGCTGAATTTCATGCCTGTTGGTGCTGGTGTTGTGCCTGTGCCGGGCTGTGCAGACTCTCACTCGACTGTTAGAGTCGGGACCCCGGTGAGATGAGGCCCCCTTCCATCTCCCTCAGAATCCTCTCAGGACATTTGGCCTTGTCTCAGCATATGATGAGATGGGATGGGGCCTGAGCTCTTACTCGTGGGTCTTTGCGGATGTTTTCCAGAAGTTCCGGGGATGCCATCCGGGCCATAGCTCTCAGAATGAGTTTGCTGAACTGTTCCGAGGCCCCCGTTCGAGTAGGGGATATCCATGAATTTCCCATCTTTTCCAACTTCTTGTTCGAGTAATTCGTTTGCGTCGTGGATACGCGTTCAGCCATGGCCCCAAGCCATGTACTTAGCCCCGACCGAAATAGATGTATATCCCAAACAACCGTCGCTATCATCCAACGGACTTAGACTTGTGTACCTACAAGGTCCACCCCCGCACTAGGACCAGCTACTCGGGACCAAATTCGCCGTTTCACATCTCGTGGTAGTAAGGGGAACCCTACCACTCTCTCTGTCTTTACTTTTTGAGCAGAACTTGCCATGTCCATGTCTTCAAAAACTCAGACAATGACTGGTCTTCGCCGCGTGAAACGTGACCAGATGAATATGCGAGTGATGGCGTGATGCCCCGGTATTGTAAGCCTGTGGGAGATTAATTCAATGCATCGACCCTGTTGTCAGACAAAGTAAATGCCGGATCCTCATGAATAGTAAACTATACTGTACTGTACAACGAACAGATAGGGGTTGGTCCTGCACTATCCGACTCATAGGATCAACTGCTACGCTGCTGTGTCTATCATTGCGAAACAGAGCCCATTCTGCGTTAGGTTCAATTAGTGTCGGACCGTTGAAAGGTGCCAAACTAGTCTCGAATAGACAGCATTGAACAGTTGCCAGTTGAGAGAGTTGACGTGGCATGCCAGCACAGTCAGAATGGCTATCTGTGGTGGTGAGGCTGATTAAACATTCCAACGACATGTGCTCAATTGCATCACCAAGCATGACGCCTGACTGATAACTTGTGAATATTGCCGAGCCATGTCGGCGATAACTCACCTGCATCTCGTCAAAGGGAGACAGAGGTAGACTCAGCTGACAGAGGGTCAAATTGATATCATTTCTCCTCGCACGAGGTGATTCCAGTACCACCATGAATTGTGATATCCAGTCAGCATCGCTGAGCTCGACGCCGTGGCTCTGTGAATTGGTGCTTTATGCATCATTGGTCTCATGATGAAAAGGCGGCCTATGCAGCAACACACATTTATCCCTCAAAGCACATGCATAGAGGGTCGTTGCATCTATACGTGATGTTGGATATGAACCACACTATGGCCTCTCACGCGATGTTGATATCGAGTGCACCATACCATGGCCACGATGCCGCGCCACGCCCTTCCGATCTTGTCTCTGTTTGTCGTGCCGCACCGTCTGCAACTCACCAGGAACGGCATGCGAGGTGCTGGTTTCGCAAACTCTCACACAGTCCAGCCCGAACTGATATTCCAAAGTAGGGTGACCACCTTGGCCAACAAAGTGACTGGTCACCTATGTAAGACGACCCATGGGGCCGGCCCGAGCCAGGGCTAGCGATTCCAGACACAACCTTTAACAAAAGACCATACAAATGGTCGATCAGGGCTCACATATGGCAGCACCCATCAGCGATTTTGCCAACACAACCACCAACACAACTTTTACAGCAAATGAGATGCAAAGCAGCGGCTTGAGGGGTTCCCTAGGATTATTGTTCATCGCCTTAAAGGATCCAAGGTTGCACTCGTCAGCCTACATACAGCACACAGCCAGCTGACCCGACAACTAGGCACGTACATCTCATATGCTGTGCCGTAGGTGCCTAGACCCTGGTGTGGTGAAATCGACAAGGCTGAAGTCGCAAATATCCCCAATAAGTTCGAGATGTGGAGTAGATATTTGCCAGCACACGAGGGTTGTGTGGTGGTCTTGACTATCAATAGAAAATAAGACAATCTCGATGTTACTGTCTTGATCTGGGCGAATTGCCATGGCATTGGATTCAACCGCTTCGGTGACCAAGCATGCATGAAGCAGCCAGTGGTTTTTGAGCGGCACGATGCATTTTCAGACAACAGCCAAGCTGTCAGACAGTATGATTTGTGATAACTGTCAGATATGGCAAACAACCCGCTTGCCGATGACACCTTGCAGTATCGAGACTCAACCTCTGCCATTGGTGCCATGCTGAGGTATTTCGTGACCTTCATGCGATGCAACATGTTGACTGGTCATAGTTGATAAAGCTCTGTGGCTACACAACCCATAGCCTGTACTACAACGACCTTTGACGCATCTTAGTTGCTGTTCCGTATAGAGATTTCCACCGAGTTGCTGGAGCCTGTGTAATGAAGACAATCAAACTATGCTGACCAACAGATCACGCTCAACCAAATTCCCAGCCACTGGTGTCTATGGACATTAATCTGCAGCACACGCCTCGGGACTAACAGTCAGCACCGACGCCAAAAGACGTCAAAGCTATAGCTGTCAGGGATCTCGAGTCAGGGGTCCATAAGAAGGATTCTAGAAGGCTGAGCATCTAAACGAACAGGCCAAAAACCCGACAACCCTAAGGATGTGAGGTAGGGGTTCTTGGTCCCCGGACGTTCCAAGCAAGGTATGCCCACCAAAAGTGGCATCTCAATCATCCGTGGTGATTTGCAAAAATACTGAGAATTGAGGTGCGTTTCAATACCCTTCAAACTCGCCGAAGGTTCGGGCATCTAGAGCAAGGTCTGGGGAGCTTCATCTTGACACAACAGTCTGCTTCAATATAAACGATACAGTCGGTAGTTGGTGTCGGCTGTATTGAAATTTGTGGAAGTGTGTCGTTTCGAAACCAAATGGCCAAGATTCGCGATGCCTAGCCTGGCAGTTCTCCACTGATTGATTTCCAGGCACAGCTGATCCCCTGAGGCTATGGCGTCTGTTGGTCCAAGCCTCCAGGTTGGGCGACAGATTAAGCTTCGCACTGAAATCATGTACATATTTCGTAATCAATTACATTGTCAGTGCATCATTCTCATGGCGCGATTCTGTCAACTACCACAGCATATCATTGCCTGATGGTGCTTGTGTATCCTCCATGAGTCAAGGGGTCTTTGACCGAGAGATACCCATGGACAGATAAACAGAAAGACGTATGTAATAAGTGTTGAATTTAGGCTCTGGGCCATCAATAAAGCCGACCTGCGAATGCCGCGGACGGTAACAAACAATGGCGCCTTTGATACCCAGCCCAACGCTTTGATGGACCGGGGAGAAGTCCCGCGAAATTTTGTTGGTCCTTGACACTGGTGGTTAGGCATTGACAGTGAGCGTTGTCTTCTTGAAACCGCCGTTGAAAATATTCATCCATTCGACACGAATGTGCCATCGATATTAAGCCCTGGAATTGATGTGATGCTACACCCCCAGAACCCCTTGTTGCGCATCAATGATGTGCAGCAGCCACAGGCCCAAGCTTTATGGTGTCAGCAAATCTGCAAATGATATCCTGTGTGAAATTGGTTGCCATATGGCACTCTGTAATTTGTTTCTCTGTCCACCATGTTTCCGGATAGGTTCGCCGGTGGTTGATCCATGAAGAATGGTGGTGCCACGCCCGCTAGGTGGTCTGTTGGTGAACTCGATCCAAATTTGAATATATTGCAAAGCCTCCTTCGGTAATGTTTCCTACCATCAGCTCGGGTCAATTGAAGGCGCAGGCTCTAGACCCCGCTGTAAGAGGAATTCGCCGACGCCTCAGTAAATCAAATGGCTGAGCATGAACTCCATTCTGCATTGCAAGGGTAGGGTACCTCATTTCGTTGCAGAAACTCAATGCTGCCTATGTCCTGAGTGTTCATATGCCCGTTCATGGTTGCTGAGACCAACACCATTTCTGAGCAGGTCGTGGCACAGGTGTAGAGCGAGAAATCGAATGTTCGTTCCAAGGTTGGTGTGTTGTATAGATTAGTACAAAGAATTGTTTGAGATACCATCGATTGATCGTCACAGACGTATCAAGTATTGATTGTCTGATGCATGTAACAACGGTCTGTACTGCAACCTTGAAGTTAGCAATTTCAACAGTCGGTGGTTCTTATCCGAATATCTACACCTCAATAGGAAGGCCGAGCTGATAGATCAAACGTAGATTGGCGGTTCGGATGCACGTTGTCACCCATTTGCCTAATCCATGCGGCATTGAATGCAGCGGCAGGCGCGCAATGAGCGGGCACTCCCGTGGTATCAATCCCACCGCGTGGTCTGTATCAGTCCAATCAGTAACGTAGTATGATCTGGTGCATCCATCACGAGCTTCTCTGCGTACCCGATTGCGCGGGATGAGGTCGTCTTAGAGGTGCCAGCTGTGTTGAACTAAATAAACACTAATGCCGCTTGTATACTCTGCAACGAATGATGGGCTAATTCTAAATAGCCTCGTATGCGGTGCCGCAAACCTCGAGTTCAGGTTATCAATCTTGTGGTGATTGGATTGTTACTGAACCTAGCACTGGTCATAGCTTTCGTATACGACTCTGTCCTCGAATGGGCTGCTGTTTGCATAGGGTATGCTTAAACAACAGACACCATCAAACGGCTAGTTACCATCTTGCAGCATGCTCATCAATGGTGTCCTTCCCCATGAAAACACCTGTAGCTCGCCTCACACGAATAATTGGACCCCGAGATGCAATTCGCACACTGTATCATTCACAGTGGTGGGCTTCATAATACAGTAAGTTGATGCGAGCCAATGCAACAGGTCTGACGCTGTGCCACTTCTTGCTGGCATAGCATTGCATAGGTCGCCTGCAGACCATCAGGTGCCCAGAAGCAATGACGCGATAGAATGCATGGTGAGACTGAGCATTGCGTTGTGCCTTGCGCCGACAGGGCAAGGTGATTGTGACGCAGTCACTGTAATTACTGGTCACAGTCGAGAGTTCAAAGTCTTGATACAGAGCTTGATGGCATACCGTAGATGCTTGGCTCATGGTTGGCTGTCCCCCGACCTCTGACATACTGCTAAAGGAAACGCACGTGGATGCAGCCCGTAGAACAGTGGAAATTGAGGGCGTGCCGCAGAAGTCTTGGAACGGAATAATCGGCATCCTTTGTTATGCTCTGTAAGAATACGGCGCATCTTGGGCTGGCCGTGCCGACGCCCAGAAGGGATTAACACGATGGACAGCACGGCCGCTTAGCAGGCTATAGGCTTGGCATTTACAACGGCATGGCTAGGTAGCTGTGGCCGTGTGGGTAAGATAGCTCAAAAGGAACGACAATAGAAAATCGACTTGAATACGAGATTCATATCGGCTGCAGCATACCTGAGAAGCTGATGTACATAGAAATATCTTAACCAAACCGAGTGCCTGAGTAAGGCGCGTGATAGCTTCAACGGAACGTCGTATCCCTTGAGTATGCAAGGGCCCTGGCTGGGCCGTATCTCAATAAGACCTTTCAGTCATGACCGACATGGCCGAGACGCTGCCCCTCATTCGAGTTGGAGAGAAACTGCAAGTCAAGGCGGCAGCTGTGTCGCTGGACAGAGTGATGAGCTTTTTTCACTCCTCTAAAAGGGCCAATGGATAATTTCTGAGGATGGGACTGTGGAACGGCCCAATTCGCAATCAGACAGACTCATTGAAAGAGCGATAACTGTGTCAAGTTTGGGAATTTGAGGATACCATCACCAAATATGACAGCGAATGAGCTTGCCCTGTGATTTCTAACGCAGCTTTGAAGGTTCCAATGTCTGTGGTCCGTTTGTGATCCCGCTCTGTACCCCCGCGCTCGTCTTTCATTGTTGTATCCGTAATGAGATTCCCTACGTCACCCGGCAATCGCGTCATATCACCTTTCCTGTCACCCTTATTTTCCCGTGAACAAACTGGTTTGCCAGACTGGCCTGTTCACCATAGGCTGATGATGGAATCTGGAAGACTTGTATGGCTCTTGATCTGCCATTTTGCGGTCTGCTTGTCTGTCGAGCCATGTCAAGTGAAAGAAAGGTCCCACATAGTCGACTGAAAGATTTGCTTCGAAGGTCAAGTGTTGACACACACATACACAAGGCTGACCGATACCGCAGGTCGTCTCCCGAGACACTTGAGATCAGTCCTTTCAGGGGCTCAAGGCAGACGACGGCCCCATGTCTCACAACCATGCCCCTTAAGATCCCTTAGGGGCCGAGAACCCACCATAGATTCTAAAACCGATTGGATAATGGAACAAGCAAGCGACGTCATTATTCTTCCCCACGCAATTGAGCGAGCCCTTAATGAATCATTAGCGAATCAGATTTCCGCTGGCGGTTATGGCTGGCCCAGCACACCGGTGCCGTTTGCAAACACCCAATTTGCTTCTCAAGACGAGATGCTGGAACCGCTCAAGAATATCCTATCACCGGCTCAGATAGGAACAAGTACCGGCACACCGCATGTGATACGACAACATTGGCATGGTCTTCGTTGCTTCTTTGTCGTTCGGGGTCCAGAATGGATACCTCGTGACCATAAGAAATCTTGCCGGTCTGTCTAAAAATGTCGGTGTATGCAGCCTAAGATGAAATGCGGTCCATGGTTTGTCGTTTTTTTATGACCCCGCTGTTGAATTCTCAAGATCTCAAACGGGCTGCTGATGATA